GAGGTTCGGTGCCAATTAGAGAGAGGATCATCCCTCGCTGACAGCACTGCATTCCTGCACTCAAGCTACAGGAGGTGCTGTTCCACCAAGAGCCGAGAACCCCGACTGACTAATCCCACACTTCCCTCAGAGTTATTCGGGCTGTGAAATCCCTTGTGGACAAGTGAAAACACTCAGTCTGCAGCTTAAGTGCCTTTCTGGTTGAGCTGCACAGAGGGATATAGCTAAGATAATATTCAGAAGTATGTGAAGCACTGCAAATGCCATACTACTTTGTGTATAAACATGTCTCCAGTGTGATTTATTAGCATGACATAGCTGAAGATGAGCAGTACCTTTGTTTTCCTTACCGTCAATGCTCTTAAAGTCCAACAGGTAACTGCGATTGTCCACCTGATAAAGCTGAAGGCTCATTTTTACATAATTCCCTGTTACAGGATTTTTTCTTCTAACTCTCAGGTGATAAGGATTCACAACCTGCAATTCACATTAAAGATTGACTCAATACATGCCAAAAGAATAAGATTGCAAACACAGTACCAATACATTAAATGAGTAAAATGGAAGTGCATAAGTATGTAGTGTGTAGGTACAGTGCCGTATTTGCCCCCTTACTGATTTCCTCTATTATTGCACATTTTTGACACTGAATGTTTTCACGTCTTCAACCAAATCTTATATTAGATAAAGGGAACCTGAGTGAACAAATACATGTTTTTACTTATTTCATTTATTTAATTAACAAAGTTATCCAACACCAACTGGCACTGTGTGAAAAAGTACTTGCCCCCTTAGTTAAATCAACCCAATTAAAAGGATAATTTAGAGTCAGCTGATTGAATACAGCCAGGCTTGATTACAGCCAGCCCTGCTCAATATAAACTTCACTTATTTTGACCCTTACTAACAGAGTCAAGTTGCCAGCACAAAGATTCAACAAGCACCTTATGCCACGACCACAGGAAATTCCTGAAAAATCAGAAATAAGTTGTTGATATCTATCAGTGTGGAAAGGGTTACAAAGTCTCTGGGACTCACAGTGAGAGCCATAAACTCCAAATGGAGAACACCTGGAACAGTTGTGAATCTTCCTAGGAGTGGCTGGCCTGCCAAAATTTCTCCAAAGGCGCAGTGTAAAATCATTCAGGAAATCACAAAGGATCCTAAAAAAACATTCAAAGAACTGCTGGCTTCTCTTGCCTCAGCTAAGGTCAGTTTTCATGACTCCACAATTAGAAAGAGACTGGGCAAAAATGGGCTTCATGGGAAAGCAGCAAGGCAGAAAACACTGCTAACCAAGAAGAACATAAATGCTTGTCTCTCATTTGCCAAGAAGCGCCTGGATGATCCCCAAGCCTTTTGGGAGAGTGTTCTATGGACAGATAAGTCAAAAGTGGAACTTTTTGGATGACATGGGTCCCATTATGTCTGGCGTAAAGCAAACAATATTCCACAGTAAGAACGTCATACCAACAGTCAAACATGGTGTCGGTAGTGTGATGGAGTGGGGATGCCTTGCTGTCTCAGGACCTGGATTACTTGCCATAATTGAAGGAACCGTGAATTCTGCTTTGTATTAGAAAATTCTTAAGGAGAATGTCCAGTCACCTGTCCGTAAGCTGAAGCTGAAATGTAGTTGGGTCATGCAGCAAGACAATGATCCAAAAAGAATGGCTGAAAAGAAGCAAAATTAAAGTTTTGGAGTGGCCTAAAAGTCCAGCCTTAAACCCAATTGAGGTGCTGTGGCAGGACCTGAAATGAGCAGTTCATGCTCGAAGACCTACCAATGTTTCTGAAATAAAGCAGTTCTGTTAGGAAGAGTGGGCTAAAATTCCTCCATAATGATGTGAAAGAATTATAGGTTGCAGTTATTGCAGTTTAAGGTGGCGCAACCAGTTATTAAGTGCGAGAGTAAATTACTTTTTCACACAGGGGATATGGGTGTTGGATAACTTTGTTTATTAAATAAATGAAATAATTATAATACAAAAGGTGTTATTTGTTCACTCAGGTTCCCTTTCTCTAATACTAGATTCTGTCTAAAGATCTGAAAACATCCAGTGTGACAAATATGCAATAATAGAAAAAATCAAGAAGGGGGCAAATACTTTTTAATGGCACTGTATATATTTATAAAGTGTGTAAAGAATATAGAGGTTCAAAGTATCTAAGTCCCTGTAAGACTGGATGCATTTTAATTCAAAGGAGACTGCAATCTTCAATGATAAAATTAGACCGTGTGATTTAATAGTTGTATTATAATAGCTGGATTCCTTATCATTAAAAACTGTCTGGCTTTTTAATTAGACAAGGGTAGTCTGAGTCTAGCTAAACTTTGAAATCCTAACAAAAACCTTAGCTTTTACAAGACAAAACAGTTGGGCAGAGTTTAAATAATTTGTTAAATGTTAATGGCCAAACACAAACTATTTTGGCATAATGTCAATATACTATAATATGTGTTCTGCTGTTTTGTTCCCATTCATAATTAAAAACAAGTATGTGTTTTGATATCAATTAAAATTAAGTGAAATGCACCAGATAATACCTGACCAGAAAAAAGGCCACTAACTACCTGAAGTGAAACGAGGTAAGTAACACCTGATCCTTACTGAGTTATTTTAATATGTTGATTCAGACAGGAATATCACATAACACAGTTTTGAAATGCTGTATTCAGCACAGTCCTAATATTTATTTGTAGTCTGTATATACTGTAATAGTTTGGTATTTTCAGTGGCCATAAGAGAATGTATTTACTGAAATCTTTCTCAGAATAACATGAAGATGGAAATGTTACAAAAAAGAGAGAAATATGCCTATTTTATTTATTTAGCTTCTTTAAAGAGCTTCTTTTGAAAGGCTAATTAGGATGGGGAATACTTTAGATAGACACTACATTGTAAATGAGCTAATGTTCTAAGTTGAATAAACCTGAGAACAGCATGCCGTGTTTATTTGGCTATGACTTTACACATGAACCATGATTATGGTTCAGATGGTGTGGGAAACACTAAATCTGTAACGCCTAAAGAACTGACCACCCTTGGTAATTAGTTTGATGCAGTCAAAAGCCCTGGTGGAATTAAAACTACACAACCCAGAAAAGCAGCAATTCCCGCTTTACCAGTTTGCATCCAAAAACCCACCTTCCATTCATAGTCTAGCTGTTTCATGGCCCGGTACACTTCAGCCATGATGTCGTAAGGCTTGCTCTGGCTGCGAATACCCAGGTGCCACTTGGCCTTCTTGACAGCAAGGGGCTTGGGCTTGGTGGTGTTGAGGGCATCCAGCGGACAGCGTGCCTTGGGGCTGTCAGCCATGAGTGGGGGCATGCGCTCAGGGTGGGGCTTGACCCCAGGGGGCAGGGGCATGTCGTCCATGAAGGAGCCCGTGGGAGGGCTTGAGGCCAGGTAGAACTCACTGGCCTGGTTCATGATGCGGCGGTTGTCGATGATGAGGTGATAGGCCACGGCCAGCTGGTCCTGGGGGTCCCCACTGTACAGGCTGCTCATCACCTCTGACTCAGTGCACTCAAACTTCTCACACACCTCCCGCACTGCCTCCTCATCAATCACATTGGCATCGTAAGAGGGATCCTCGGGAAAGAGGTACCCAGGAAGGTCCTGCTTGAACCACTCATGTTCCCTGCCACAATGTAAGAAAGGCTATTGTGGTGGTTAATCAAAACGGTTAGAAACATATCACTAACTGGTTTGGGGATGCACAGAGGCCTAAGCATCTTGGAAGGCTGTGAAGAGATATAATTAAAGCAATTATATATTTGACTCTTAGATATCAGTAAACCCCTTCCAAATGGCTTACTGATTATTCTGCTGTATTCCTTATATAGCACAATAAAGTGATGATGCTAGGTAGGTCTGTTAAGGGGCAGGGGGTGCTGTATGTACAGATGCAGCCATTCAAAACGTGTGGGGTATTTTGCGGTACCCCGCGGTGGGCGTGTCGCATGGAAACGCAGTTCATGCGGTATATCGCGTCATTTGACGTCATGCCGGAAAGTATCCGGAATCACCTTGTAAAACCGCCAGGAGGAGCCAATAAAGCTTAACCTCTCATGTACAGCATTTGAGCTTTTAAATTTAAACTGTGTATTACAGCATGTTAATCATCAGTCATTAAAAAGTTGGTATATTTTATGAAAGCAAGATTGCTCAGTTGGACAAAAGTACACAACCTACCTTTATCAGCAATATTTTAATTATGCAGAAATATTTTATGCATCAAAGCCTTTACCGGAGATATTACTAATAGCATTAATAATGAATGACTTTGGACAAGCTGTAAACTCAAAGTATTACGCTGGTCCACATTCTTTCTAACCGTCATTTTAAATGAAAATACTTTTATTTTTTTCTTTGACAAACACCACAGCATTTCGTTGATCTAACTAACCAGGACAGGACATTAGCTAGCCAATACGATAAAGGAATGGCTTTTTTTGCTTATTTCTTTAGCACATTTGTACAAGCACTTGGAATCTGTCCAAGCCCTACTTTGTCAGGCATTTTCTTTTACTGTAACGGACATAAGAACTCCCTTGCTTTTTAACAGAGCGTTTCATAATTTCTAACTATATTCAAATAGAGAAAAAAGAGCTGACTGACAAGATTTAAGAAGTGGCTGTCAATGTTGGATTAAAAAAAACACGTTGCCCGACGTTAGTTAGTGGATAAGTAATTCAAGTGTTTTTTTAACTTCCTGAAAAACAAGTAATAATTTAACAATATGTGCAAAGGTTTTATGATATGTCGCTGTTGTGAATGTCTGTGGAGTGTATCTTATTTGCCTGTCCTGGCTGTGCTCTCTCACTCGCCCTCCCCCCCCCTCTCTCTCAATTCAATTCAATTCAAGCTGACAGATGGGTACAATCAGTGTTGGGTATTTACTTTGTAATCTGTGGTCCTTTTAACTGTTTTTACATCTACTGTATTGCTTTGAGATGCCACTTTTAAAGGTGATATATAAAATCAAGGCTTTAACTTGCTTCAACTCTGCAAGTCTGAGTTCTTGTGTCCGTCCTATCCGAACCCAAAAGTATTACAATATGTGTCTTTATAGCAGGTGGTGTACAGCTTTTTATTATAGATTACACTTTTCTAAAATGTATTTAAAAAATAAAAACGATTACAATCTAATCTTTCCACGTTTGATCCCAAGATCCCAAGAAAAATCTAAACTGGGAGAAAGCTATGCTGAAAGTTTATTAAGATACTTAGAAGACAAAGATATCAATTTATGTTGCATTTGTCTGATTGTGAATCAAAATGCGATTTAAATCAATATAAATGTTTATATTGTAACGCATAGGTGACTATTCATTGTTATTAAAATGACTTAAATTTGATCATGTTGTGATATTTAGAAATATACATTTGTTTGGTGCGAGTGAAGTTTTATTTAATCTCTGACCCAGGGAAAAGTTTTATTTTTTCAAAGAAATGTTTATTAAAAAAAAAAAGTCATGGCTCCGGCTGGATTCGAACACCCAACGTGTAATGTGGGAGTCAGGACCCTAATCCACAGCGCCACTGGCAAGGTTACGCGAGGAGTGTTGAAAAAGTCCTACAGAAACATTATCAGCAGACAATGTACAGCGTGTACTATTCTTGTGTTGCGGTACATGAATATAATTATATCGTTATTAATTTCTTTAGATACGCGATTCCATATTATATTTTCTTTAATCAAATTCTAAAAGTATGCTCATTGACTCCAGTATCACGTTAGATAAAGACTTTGATGCTTAAAATGTTTAGGGAGAAATGGAATACTGGTGTATATTTTTTCTTTAAAGTACCGAGACCAGCCATATACTGTATGTTTATGTTCCAGAATTAATATCGTTTATGGCCTTCACACGCGTTACAGTATGCTCCTATTCTTTTTATGCTCAGCTACTAAGATTTCCCTTCAGTGGTAAAATTCCATTTAATATTCAATACTAAAACGGGCACAGTAAAGACATTTAAATCTTTCTATGACCGACAAACGCACCACGAGTGCCCCTGTCGGTCAACCAATCACGTATCCCAGTATTTTGCGTCACGATGCGCGAGGCCATAGCCAATTACCCGCGGTACGTGTCTGTGCCGCGTACTTTGAATGGCTGCATCTGTATATACATAGCTATGCTGGGTTTATAAGCTCTTTGTGTTATAGTTAGTTTTTTGTTGCTTTACAGAGTATACTTCATATATGCTATATAAGTTCTTAATCAGTAAACAAATAATAAAAGGTTGTAATAAAAGTCAATAAGTCATAATAGTGCATTTTGCAAGATTTTATACTTTCATTTTAGTTCTACAAGTCAAATAATGAATGTCTTCTATTTCATTTATAAAAGTTAGAATCGATTAAATCAATCGACCGATACTATTATAATGTAGAGAATGGGCCATCATATAACCCAAAATATAGCTAAAAGTGAACTGTCTTGCATGGTTTTTATTAGCAACTCCACAGGAAAAGAAGATCTAGAAACCAAGACATGTCTAGCAAGTGCATATCAACAAAAAGAGCTTAACGTTTACTCCATGATAATCTGAAAAAACAATTAAGGATTCCAAGGCAATCAATCACGTGATCATATGAATGACATGGGTACCTGATGTCCTTGATGGTGGCTCTTTTCAGAGGGTCCACTTGTAGCATGAGCATGAGGAGGCTAGCAACCGAGCGATTCAGGTACTCTGGGATGTAAAACACGCCCCCTCTGATCTTTTTAAAGAGTGTAGGCACGTGCTCATCATCGAAGGGCAGTGTTCCACACAACAAGGCATAGAGTATCACTCCGCAGCTCCAGATGTCCACCTCAGGACCTGCATAGAGCCTGTGGGAAAAAAATGCAATACAAGACTATTAAGTATGAGCATGTCAAATCCTTATTAAAAGGTTAGAGAATGCCACATGGTATTCATGGCAAACAAAACACTAATTCTGTTCACTGTCCTTTACAAATTCTTGATACACATGTAAAACACGTTTATGTTAAGTTATTGTCTTTTATATATTTCGATCATATAAACGATGTGTCATTATTAACTCAAGAACATTAATTAATAAAATAAAATTATCCACGTATTTAAGGGAAACCAAGAGCTATGCATGTGGATAAAATCATACTTTTGAAACAGATATAAAACTATAATACAAAATAATCATTGGTTATGAAGTGTAAGTTCATTTTACTACAAAGACCAAACCAAATATGTTTCAATTATTTAATTCATGTTACCTTAAACAGAAAAAGAAGTTCTGTTTGAGTAAAAAATGTCTCAACTTTTGTCAAGCCAGACAATTCTAAAGTGCATACACAGTGCCAGTTAAAATACACACAAATATATGACCTCTCACCTCCCAGAGATGACCTCAGGTGCAGCGTAATTTGGGGAGCCACAGCTGGTCCTCAGGAACTCTCCATCTGACATCATGTTTGAGAGACCTGACATAAATAGGTTATATTAACTTTCACGCACACACAAAGTGGATGTCCAACTCCAGGTGTGTCTTAGGAGTCCATTGTGTTCTAGATGAAGTCATTATTTTGTATTTTTGACTCTCCAACAGCAGCTGTTAGCATATTGTTCATTATTATCTACAGTATGCAATTCTCTCAGAATAAATGAGTAATCAGTAATTACTAGTACAGTAAAATCATATCCAAACATGATTTTGAAAAATCTATTTTATAAATGTTCTGTTTTTAATAAATTAATGCATTAAACCAAGATGAAGGCTTTTAATTAAAACAGCAATTATAATTAGGTTTTTGTTCTGAATTAAATGAACATCTTGTTTGTTTCTTTTAAAAAGTAAACAAAATGAATGATGTCATTAAAGCTTCCTATTTGTGTCTCTTTTTACATCCTGTTGTAGGACTGAATGCATATCCTGGTCCACTAAATATGCCTTGCCTTCACATCTAAGACTCCAGTGTAAAAACACAAAAAGAATTACTCCTCCACAATCAGAAAATCCAGGAAGGTCAAGAGTGAAATTTTGTAAGGTTATTATATAACTGAAGGTTTTACAGCTGTGGTGCTTGCTGCCAAATTGTAATCAACACTAGTTGTCGCCTAGCAACCAATGAGCTCTTGTCAATCTCACAATCCCCAACACTGGGATAACAACATACCGAAGTCAGCAATCTTGGCATTCATACTGGCATCCAGGAGAACGTTCTCTGGTTTCAGGTCACGGTGAACCACCATGTGCCGATGGCAGTAATCCACTGCTGAAATTATCTGCTGGAAGAGACGTCGAGCCTCTGTGTCCTCCACCTAAATTAAAAATCTCCACAGCTTACTACAAATTCTGGACTCTTACCTTTTACAGATTGTAAAGCATATTCTTATTATTGTATAATGGAAATGTATTCAGAAATTTATATACATGCAGAGTATATGACTGGCTCTGCTAAAACTAGGTTTGTTGAGGATCATTCACTTGTTCATGCAAGTATCCTGACCTTATGAGGTAATATCTGCACAAGTAGTCAATGTAAAAATGCTGACTTTGGCTCCATTTTCACGACTATCAGCAAAGATTATGTATTTATACAGAAAAAAGCTCAAGGAATCTAATTTGGGGAAACAGGATAGCAATAGCTGTCAGGAAATTAACATATAGTGGAAGGAATTTCAAAATCAGAAAAAAATATTTTCCAAATTAGACAATACAATGTTAATTATATAGTTTAATCAAAATCATAAAGGGGGGAATATACAGTCATAAAGAGAACAACACCCAAAGTGCCCTTTAGATGCTTTCTTAAACTTAAATCTTTAATGTTTTAATCTTTATTCCATTTCAGGGTTACAAAATATGAATACTTAGTAAAACACTAGATTTTCATTGAAATTAGCAGGAATTCTCAACTGCACAGTAGGGGTGGGTGAAAAAAATCGATTCTTAGATGCATCCTGATTCTTTCTTGTACAATTCTGCATCGATGCTCGATGCATCGAAACTCCATAATCGATCTTTTAATTTTGCACAGTAATAAACATTTCAGATAAAAACAATACAATGTACAGTAAAGGACAAATAGAGCAAATAGTAATGGTTTAGTTTTTTGGGCATAGGACAAAACTAATTGTGTAATGAAACGTAAAAACGTATAGGTTAACAAGTGCGCAATGCTTACATTTTAACTAAGCTAAGCTACCCAGTTTGTAAAGATGGACAAACTCCGGCCTGTACCCTCCACTTGGAAAGCCACCGTATGGGCACATTTTGAATTTTATGATGTAAAAGGTAAAAATGAACTGGATAAGGGCCTACAGTGTGTAAGCTGTGTCATACCAAGATAAAATATTTTGTTATTTTGGGAATACAACGAACATGCGAAATCACATTTCACGTTTCTATCCAGAGTTGGAGGAAAAATTGCCTGTTTTTGTTGCTACCGAACAGAGAACCCTCAAGCAAGTGTCAAAGCTTCCACATAGTTGGGAAAGGGAGAAGCAAAATACCAGGTCTTTAGCAAGTTTTATCGTAATGTACGCCCCCTACTCCCTTGTTGAACACCAGGGCTTTGCTTAGTGTTGCAAACACTGGAGCCAAGGTATAACATACCGTCTCTGCGTCACTTTAGTGAAACAGCAATACCAATGCTCTACAACGACACCAAAACTCAAGTTTTGGAATCACCGAAGAAAGCAAATAGGGTGGCAATAATCTGTGACAAAAGATTTCATTTTGGTGAATGACAATGCCTCTAACATGGCTGTTGCTGCACAGCTGGCTAAATTCCTACACCTGAGATGTTATGCTCACACACTGAATTTGGCCTTTCAGCAAGCACGCAAAAAAATTAATGATGAATAGAAAAAAAATCGAGATGCATCGAGAATCGATTCGCATTATCGAACCCTAAATCGAAATCGAATCGAATCGTGAGGTGCCTAGAGATTCCCACCCTCCTGCATAGCACACAAAGGGTAACACCAAGTTCTTACCCTCCCATGCTTACAGATGTAGTCAAACAGTTCACCTCCAGACACGTACTCCATAACCATGAAGAAGTCCGTGGGTGTACTGATGACCTGGTATCTAAAAAAAAAAAAAGAACTCCAATTACCAATCAAGGTTCCAAAATATCACCCAGCACTGTCTGTGACAGTCTCAAAATCCAAAGGAGCTTTCAACAAAAGAACAACATTAATGTTCTAGACTTGCAGGCAAAATTCATTCCACTTTCATATATTTTTTTCTCCTAGATTGTCTTTGATGTCATTAGATATAAGGTACTGTATACCTACTGCAATTATTTTTGTTTTGCTTCTCTCTAAAGTGTCTGCTTTGATTTTAAGTTATAACTTGCATGCATGTTAATGATGAATTTGTTGTCAAAATTAGACACAATTTATAACATCTACAATTTGCTTTAAGGGCTTTAGGGAGTTCTGCAAGCACAGGTACACCTTGTATATATTTTAAATATGTCCACATTGTTTACTGAGAATTATTTTTCAGTATATTATAACATTAGGGCCTTCAACCAGTGAATATGGGAAAGGTCTGTTTGAACTTGACTAGCACCAGCATAGCATGGGAGGATTATGAACTGAAAGAGACATTAAAGATTTGTGGTTACTGTGTATCTTGAGGGCTGCAATCATGCTCCACTCTGACAAAATGCCCAGATTTTAATTCACCTGGTGTTGCTCACAGTTTAATAATGTGAGGGTGACGGAAAAGCTTGAGGTTCTGTATTTCCCTTTTTATTTTCCCCACCACATCCAGGCTGCGGATTTTCTGACGATTCAGAATCTTCACTGCGACCTTGTGCCCAGTCAGCTGGTGCTCCCCGACTAGCAAAAGCACAGAACAGCAACAACAGTGAAACAACTGAAAGAATCCAGAGAGTAGGTAAGCAAGACTCCAGGCCCATAAAATGTACACTTGACAAGCAAAAGTGATGGAACTGTCAGTAAAAATAAATTCAAAGGTCTCAGTTCATCTGTGAAAAAGATATACAAGTACTGATTAAAAAGTGAATACATTATCCATTTGCTTAGAAAAAATAATATTCAGAAAAAGTATTAACTTTCCTTTTTTATGAATGCATTCCCGCCAATAACAAGAGGATATGGTGTGCACATTAAGAGCAGAAAATACACTTAAAACTAGTCTTTCAACCCATGATAGCTTCCAATTCATATATACTGTACAGAACGATTCTACTAGGAAGTAAAGCGAAATTATAAAATGTGTCCATACATCAACCTGCACAGTTGAAGTGGTAAATCATTCTACAGAACATTAAGTATGGTTTGTCATGTTATTTCTCAATGCCTTATTAAGCAATTATAGACCACAAGACTAAGACTACCATGTTTTTTTGTTAAAAATCTACAAGATTAATTTAAACTACCTTCCTGGAGTCTTTAATTTAGCATTCTGAAAATATTTGTGGAACATTAGTTATTACTGCAAATTTATTTTGGTGGTGAATATTACATGATTATGATCAGAAAATGCCTGGTTTATAAAGTTTTTGAATTGGTCTCACTGCTCTATCTTAAAACAATCATGGTTGCAGTATAAAAAGGCAACAGAAATCAATTCACTGACTTAATGTAAGGTACAAACCTGGTTAATATTAAAGGCAGAAGAGTCTACTGAGATCTCTGGTTTGCCTATTACGTCCCATGCAATATTCTCATTAGACTATGATAAGTACTATTAATGTATAAAACTGGAACATCAGGATTGCTCATTTGAGAGCAGATCTCCTGCCGTCTCTTGACATGAAGCATGATAGAAGCCAAAGACAACACACCTCGCTTTTCTGTGAGAACTATCAATATTTAATAAAACAAAAAACAGAAGGAGAAAGACATTGTAAAAAAATTGTTACACTCAAACCCTTAGCTCAGCTTCAAACATCTTCTACAAAACAGCCTGGCTGTTTCAGAAAAGCAATTAAACATGCTCAGAGAACCAGCATCCTGCTTGTGAATCCACATCCCCTCCAAATAAATATGCTGTGCATCCTCAACAGAGAAAATACAGAATATGATATCTTTCTAAAATGTAAAAAAAGTACTGTGTAGACCAAATAGAAAACAGAAAACAGTGATTTACAAAATTGCTTGATAGACTCCCCAGGGTTCAGTGTTATCTTAGATACCAGGCTATTTTTTCTCTTCTTGTGCTTTTATCTAATTCCTGCTTTCCCCTGGTCCTGAAAACTCACACAGCATGTTAAGGACATCCAGATTGCAGCCTATAATCTTCCATGGGTTAGCAATACAGTACATGTCCTAAATAATTTAAAGTTACTGATGTAACCATTTCATACAATTGATCTCACTTTTTTATATTGAAGACTCATGCTATTTATTTTTTACCTTACCCTTATAGTGAAGGACAAGTCCATTATAGGAAAAAGGATAAATAATATGTCTGTATTAATTCTTCTCCTGCCCCAACAACAACCAAGCAAAGTCTAAAACTTAAACAAAAAGCAAAGAAATGTCAAGTTTGCCTCTTATGGATCTCTATGTTTTGTGGACTGTTGTGACCACATGGGGACTAGATCAATACACTAATGGCTAAGATGTATGTGATAAAGTAACGGGTGCCTGAAAATTTCTTGGAGTTTATAGTTTTGGGAAAGGTATAGCAAAAGTTATTAAAAACTCCATTAAATCACTGATGAGATTTCAATTGCTTATATCCCCAAGTTTTATTAACATGTACTGTAGTTTGGATTTTCAGCAATATAGATAATACAGAATCCCTACATTTCAGCAAATTAAAACCAGAATCAGAGAAGCACGTAATCACACTAGAACATAAATCTTTTATAGATAAGTCTACTTAGTCTACTCCTCTAATTACCGTATTTCAAAAGTTGACCGGTCCAGACCTCAGACTCGGCCATTAAAAATCTTACTATTCTTGAAATACGCTGTTTGCTTCTCTTTAAAGTGGTTTCCAAGGTCAAGCTGGGATGCATTCCAAATTCCAACCTACAGGTGGCTGCACTTGCTGGTTTGTCTAGGCAGTGCTGATAATTCACATTGAGAAATATTGCAGACATATTAGCGTGAAACGCTGAAAATGAAAAAAATGAGTTGTCGTTTAAAAAACACTTGGTACTTTTGATCATGAAAAAGTAGTGTTGCTCGTGCTTTGTACTCTCATGAATGGTTCGAATTTCCAGCTTTAATAGAAATGGACATTTTTAGTTTTAATTATTGCAGCTGCAAACTATTGTGGTTGCCTTATTACCGGACAACAGTCTCCTAAATTACTTTCCCTCACTCTGTCGAACCTTAACATTGACCTAGCAAACAATAATTACCATTTTAACTTGAACCAGGAGAGCACTAATTCTAGTAGTAACATGCCAGAGTGGATCTTGTATTCTTTGGTTCTTTTGGTCATATTATTTTAAAATCCAGAAAAAACCGTTTGGCAACAGATGCAGTTTACTCGTATCAACTAAACGAATTTACTAAAATGCCATTTTTAAAGTTAAAATTTAGCCATTTTTAAAATATCCTCATAGATTGGCGTGCGTAAAGGTTAAAGAAACAAGGTCAGAATTACAAGCCGACAACACAGTTATCAACTCTGGTTTCCTTAAGAATAAAATGCTGCGTACATTTTACATCGGTTTAACATAATATTTGATATGGTCATTACCAAAGTGTGATGATTTTTCTCAATATTGCGCTGTCAAAGCAATGATTGTATATACCTTACAAAATACTGCATTCGCATTTATTGTTACTGCATGTCAGAAAACAGGATTTTTGATTTACTACTGCTTCCTAAGCATGAACTGCACACCATAATATTTACAAGCGTTTAACAAGACTGCTCTCTGCATTGATGACAGAATTCGGGATTTTTTAAAACACTCCCCATTCTTCAGTTATATTTACGAAATAAGCGTTCGCCGTTCTTAGACTGCTCCCATACACTGTCAAGACACTGCTACGCCGTTTGCGTAGTGTCCACCTGCAATGGTTTAACATTCACAGTCAAGGCAGAGGAGAAAGACATTTACAGTCTGTCGGAAGCTGTAGCAGTTTCTTAACAAAATAAAAAAAAACACTTAACTCTTCACTTTTCCGAAAGTGCCGACTCCAAGGGTGTCTCCTAATATGTAGTGTCCTATTTTAACCCTGCCTTCGTGTTTCTGCTTCTCAGCCATTTTTGCATTTGTGATCCTTCTGTAGTTTTACCCAGAGTGCAGAGGGAGGCGAAGAGTACTGTACAACGCACACTACACCAAGCACGCGAAAGAAGTCAGACACCAGACAGCGCAATGCTGTTTATGGTGATTGTCAGTCTTCTGGCGAGAGACATGGGGGGAGGATGGCGGCAGCCTATTAACTCTTCCCCACAATTCGAAATGTGTGTCTGAAATGCCTGTGTATTTACCTGTTATTGGGAAAGAAATATTCTTAATTCTTTACACGCTAAAACCCTAATCCCGCTAGAATCACGGTGGCTGCACTTCAAGGACATTTCTACAGTATGCAGTGTGTCACATTCTTGTCTTTTTGGAGATACTATAATGTTTGATTGTTGTCTTTGATAACAGCATTAAAGTTGTTGCTGTTAGGAACTGACGACGTACTAGGTATTCTAGTGTACTGAAAGGTAGCTCTTCTTATGTACCATAGCAAATAAATACTGTATATGCCAGAAAATTTTAAATTTATTATATACTGCAGCGAACGACCCTGCGGCTCTGGAGGCTGCAGACAGAGTACTCAGTTTAAACAAAAGGGGTTTATTGCCCTTTAGATTACAGTATGTGTGCTAGTCACTAGGGGAGAGAGAGTGGTGTCCCGCAGTCTCCGGTAGCAATACATGGCGAAATAGAAGATTTATATAATATGATACATGTGTACTGTATACAGATGCAGTCAGGGTCAAGGTTGAGAGGGAAAAGGGAAAATCCAATACAGGTGGGAGCGGAATGCTACACTACATAAATGTGAACACTAGGTGGAGATGTACGATTTCTGTCGTTCTTATATAGTTCCAGTAATAATAATAATAATAATAATAATAATAATAATAATAATAATAATAATAATAATAATAATTGCTTACACTTAATTTTGCTTCTTTTCAGCCATTCTTTTTGGATCATTGTCTTGCTGCATGACCCAACTACATTTCAGCTTCAGCTTACGGACAGATGACTGGACATTCTCCTTAAGAATTTTCTAATACAAAGCAGAATTCACGGTTCCTTCAATTATGGCAAGTAATCCAGGTCCTGAGGCAGCAAGGCATCCCCACTCCATCACACTACCGACACCATGTTTGACTGTTGGTATGACGTTCTTACTGTGGAATATTGTGTTTGCTTTACGCCAGACATAATGGGACCCATGTCATCCAAAAAGTTCCACTTTTGACTTATCTGTCCATAGAACACTCTCCCAAAAGGCTTGGGGATCATCCAGGTGCTTCTTGGCAAATGAGAGACAAGCATTTATGTTCTTCTTGGTTAGCAGTGTTTTCTGCCTTGCTGCTTTCCCATGAAGCCCATTTTTGCCCAGTCTCTTTCTAATTGTGGAGTGATGAAAACTGACCTTAGCTGAGGCAAGAGAAGCCAGCAGTTCTTTGAATGTTTTTTTAGGATCCTTTGTGATTTCCTGAATGATTTTACACTGCGCCTTTGGAGAAATTTTGGCAGGCTAGCCACTCCTAAGAAGATTCACAACTGTTCCAAGTGTTCTCCATTTGGAGTTTACGGCTCTCACTGTGAGTCCCAGAGACTTTGTAACCCTTTCCACACTGATAGATATCAACAACTTTTTTCTGATTTCTTCAGGAATTTCCTGTGGTCGTGGCATAAGGTGCTTGTTGAATCTTTGTGCTGGCAACTTGACTCTGTTAGTAAGGGTCAAAATAAGTGAGGTTTATATTGAGCAGGGCTGGCTGTAATCAAGCCTGGCTGTATTCAATCAGCTGACTCTAAATTATCATTTTAATTGGGTTGATTTAACTAAGGGGGCAAGTACTTTTTCACACAGTGCCAGTTGGTGTAGGATAACTTCAGTGTCAAAAATGTGCAATAATAGAGGAAATCAATAAGGGGGCAAATACGGCACCGTACCTACACACTACATACTTATGCACTTCCATTTTACTCATTTAATGTATTGGTACTGTGTTTGCAATCTTATTCTTTTGGCATCTATTGAGTCAATCTTTAATGTGAATTGCAGGTTGTGAATCCTTATCACCTGAGAGTTAGAAGAAAAAATCCTGTAACAGGGAATTATGTAAAAATGAGCCTTCAGCTTTATCAGGTGGACAATCGCAGTTACCTGTTGGACTTTAAGAGCATTGACGGTAAGGAAAACAAAGGTACTGCTCATCTTCAGCTATGTCATGCTAATAAATCACACTGGAGACATGTTTATACACAAAGTAGTATGGCATTTGCAGTGCTTCACATACTTCTGAATATTATCTTAGCTATGTCCCTCTGTGCAGCTCAACCAGAAAGGCACTTAAGCTGTAGACTGAGTGTTTTCACTTGTCCACAAGGGATTTCACAGCCCGAATAACTCTGAGGGAAGTGTGGGATTAGTCAGTCGGGGTTCTCGGCTCTTGGTGGAACAGCACCTCCTGTAGCTTGAGTGCAGGAATGCAGTGCTGTCAGCGAGGGATGATCCTCTCTCTAATTGGCACCGAACCTCCTGAACTGTGGTGCCTGTGACATTAAAACACAAGTGGCTCGAAGCTGAGCAGGTCAGCTGACATTTCTTCCCCTCTGCATGTGCAAGAATGGTAACTGTGAGCTGACACTTGGAAAAGCACAATTCGCCATTCAAATTCATTTAGGATTAATAATAATAATAATAATAATAATTGGTTACACTTATATAGCGCTTTTCTGGACACTCCACTCAAAGCGCTTTACAGGTAATGGGGACTCCCCTCCACCACCACCAATGTGCAGCATCCACCAGTAGAAGGTAAAATGTCCAACAGCCCAACTGCTTCCAAAATACTAAGATAACACAACAGAAGTCAACAATAGGTTCTTGTTTGTCTGTTGAAGATTGAATTGATTCTCAGTGTTGTTTAGCAAAAAATCATAATCACTTTCAACATCCACTTATCCAGTTTAGGGTCACAGATATACCCTGGATGGAACATCAGTCTATCACAGAGGACACAAAGATGCAGAGCTATTTTCACACCATTTTTTATAGAACAATCAGTTTATTATTAATTTGATTAAATTAGTTAAAGGACAAGATTTGTACTAATGTGCTCTTCTGATTTGTTACCTCTATTGTAAATTGTTTTGTGATGTCCTAACAGGAAAGGCACAATATAAAAATTATTAAATTGTGCATTTTAATTAAAACTTTCCAAATGAAACTAAAAATTAACTTAGGCTGTGAGCAGGTCAGCTCTGTGTAATATCTGAGGTACTGTTTACTCTGAGAGGCAGAGAGATGTGACCTTAACTGAAATTTTACAGCCACCTTGCCACTTGAAGAAGCAGGAGAAGGTCCTGTCCACCAGCTAGATTGAAGACTTCATTTGAGTCTTGTCAGAAGTACTGTATACTGCTGTGCAGCATTGTTTGTAAATTTCTGGTAATTGTACTTCTATCATTATCATTATTCATTTTTGTTAGTAATGTTGATGCTGTTGTCCATGTGTTCAAGTACATATATTATAGTAAATTCAGTACAATTTGGTCCAAGTACAGTTAAAGTTATCCATAGACAGACATCTTGTAAAATGCTACGATGACCTGGTCTAAATTGATTCACCTTTAATATCTAGTAAAGTATTCACCACATTGCACAGAAATTAAATTAATATGTTAATTGATTAGTTGGAAGGTACAAACAAGTAAGAAAATTCATAGTTTATTGTCCAACCAAGGTTATTTTATGCTTGTATTTTTAAAACTTTCTAAAAATACACCATTACCCTGACATTGATAATGTTAAGTATTTGTACAAATGTATTTTTAGTAGGTGATCCGCAGGTGAAATAGCTACTACCGAACAAGGTAAATGGGCTAAATGGACTGTTCTTATTAGCCACTATCCAGGTATTGATTTTTATGTTTGCTTATTGCAAATGTTATTGTCCCCATTTAATCACAAAGCATTTGTAGCATTTATTTTACTTTACTTGCAATGATTACTTTACAACAAACAAAAATGGATAAATCTGTTTAAATATATCATTAGAAAAGATGTTTTGCTGAATAATTCACCTGAGTGCTTACCATCTTACATTCTTTTCCTCTTGTGAAACAGCTTATTGGAAAAGAAAGATAATCCACAACAAATTCCTCTTAAATGAGTGTGGTTAATTTCTTAGAAGTCTGTTTTTTCTTTTCATGATCTTTTTTTTAAACTTAATTTCCATACCTGTTAACTTAAACTTAATTTTAGTTGAATTTTGATGTTTTCATTGATGCAATGCAAGAAGTAATATATCAAAGATTACTTGCATGTGTCGGATGTAAAACTTATTGTTGACATTAGATGGCACCTTTGTCCTACTTGTAAATTGGAGCCCACATTGCTAAATAAACTAAAGTGCCAAACTTAACACAGTACAGCACTGTGTTATTCTGATAAACTATTTAAATGCATAGAAAAACATGTGCTGAAGCAGTATTTACTTTCTTAAGTAAGTACTTTTTGATTGTATTAAGCTATTTATGTCAGTAACAGTGTTCCAGTGAATAAGAGAGTAAAGAACATAACACTTCTTAGAAAAAGAAGTTCCTCTGTCTAAAATTATTCCTACAGTATGTGACAGGCAGCACATATCCTTTATTCTATTGAAGTTTACATAAGGTTTGCAAATGACAGGGGCCCATTGACCTTGTTTCGTTTTTTAAAAGATAAGTGACACAAGGTTCCCTTCCAGTTGTTTATTGAAAGAAGCTTAGGTACCAGCTTTGACAACAAGGCTGGGGAGCTGGTTCCATAGTTCTGAAAAATAAGGTTTTCAATCAGACAGAATGTAACTATTACCTCATGGGAAAATGCCAAGTCACATACAAAGTTATCCAATTGGATCTTAAGACCTTCTTTTTCTGCATGGTTGAGCTATTTTTGCTTTATCACTGCTTTACTTCCATGTTTTGCTCAGAGTTGTGAATTCTATTAGACACAGCAGAAATCGTATGCAAAAAGCTGGCTCACCCCTCTACTGGGCTGCTGAGTTGCTCCTTTCTTTCCATACCTTAGCATGGAATTAGCATCTCCTTCTGCCCTTACTGTGGTTGCTGCGATCAGAGTGATTGTAGCAGTGTCTCTGATTTTTCTTGTACATACTGCAAAGGTCTCTGGTATTCCTGTAAGTTTCTTTAGTGCTGAGACTGCTTTGCTTTGTTTTAATGTCCCTCTCTTTTATTTCTTCAGTACCATGTGAGTACTAAGGGAACTTTTTAGATCCATAGTTATATGTGCTACATATAGCATTATCCGTGTCCTCCTCTTATCCTCCAGTCCATGGGCTTTCCATCCTCATAATCATTGGAGATACAAACTCCTGGCTGAGGGTGGTCTTGACTTTTACCTCTGCTGCCAAAGTCCAGATTATGCCTATAGCATTCTGGTTTCCAAGCATATGTTGCTTTTTTTAAACAAACAAGAAGGAGACAAGTTCACAAGATAGAATATGTTAGTTAGATGTCTGCCATCTGATCACACACCAGTAACCACCCCAGTGGCAAAACTTCAGCTGCTCCCCATTTAGTGAATAAAAGCTCTAAGACACACCAGCTGCCCTGTCCATCAATTTGAAGGATACATGCTTCCTTGTTACCATTGTAGAACATCGTTGGTGCTATTGGTCTCAACAATCCTGTCAACCCTTCATATTTACCAGGCAATGACTTCTGACTCTCCAACTGCTGTGCTCTGATTGGGTTACCAATTCAGTCATAGCATTAATGGTTAAATGTTTCAGAATGCACCCTTTTGGACACCGAAACAGTTCTTTGTGTCCTTTATGTTGTGGACACCAGGTGTAGCGACATTCAAACACTACTTTTTAAGTGGTTTATCAATGTTATCCATGTGGTTTTTGAGAATTGTTTCTTTTGCTATTCTGGTGGCCTGTGGGCTTACCTTGCTAAGACTTTATGGACTTTATCTGTCACGGATGTCCAAAGGGACTAACCGTGGGGAGTAGGAGAGCAGGAAAAGACCCATATGCGTAGCGGCGAGACGGGAAAAAGGCTCAGGCTCATTAGTGCAAAGAGTTCAGGAATGCCGTATAGAAACCTATGCCCTCAGGGAGCGGACGTGGGGCACCCTGGTGCTAGGCGGGTCTCAGGACATCCGAACGTCAATGCTGAGCGAGGACAGAGTGCAAGACCCGGAAATATATAGCCCAAGGGAAAGAGAGGGACCGGAAGGACAGCAGACCAGGGACAGGACAGAGAAGGAGGGCCCTCTGGCTGCAGAGGGCGTGACATTATCTTTAGCCTGGGCCTTCTGTCATGGGACATCTATTGAAGACTTCTGCCTACGTGTGACGTTGGTTATGCCTCCATATATATCCACTTCTGTTGAATAAATGTGACAGTTGCGGTCCAACTCCCTCTGGGACTTAGGGCCTTGTATTCTGTAACGAAATTTCTTTTTGAAAAATTTTCACCATGGGCAATAGTTCCTTGGGTTTTTATTCTGACACCAAATCAAATCAAATCAAAGTTTATTTATCAAATGCACAACAATACAACATGCAGCAGTGGTTGCTGGCAATAAAATGTCTTTTCTACGTGTTCAGTGGGGGGGGCCACAAAAATCACAAAATTAAAATTACAAAAGAAGGTTACATAATAATACATAATAGTACAATAGAAATTGAATAAAATAAACTCAGACAATACTCAATATGAATAGAGCTGCTATGTGTCCATGGTGTATGCAATCTATGTACAGTATGTGTATGTCCAAGTAGTGCAGTATGATGAATAGAATGAAAACTGTATGTCCATGTAGCCATTACAGGTGATTTGCTAAAGGAGCTGCAGGTGTCACGATCGCAAACCCCTCCTCTTAAGGGCGCTCCAGCCCTTCAGTGTTTTCTCCCATTACCTGCACTTGTTCCCTATTTCCGTTCCCCCTTAAAAGCCAGACGCAGACTTTACTCCTGGTTCCTCATTGAATTCCGTTTCATGAGAGCCCGGGGTCCTGCTGCGTCTGGCTCCGTTATGCTTTTAACTTTCTGTTCCTGATTCCCCTCGCCGGTTCCGACCCGGTTCCTGTTCCCCCTGGATGGATCGCCTGGCCATGGACTTCTACCTTTGTTTCTGATTACCCGTTTGGATTTCCTATATGGATTGTTTGCCCCGGACCCACTTCCCCTGGACACCTGCACTCCTTGGACATGCCCTCTTGTCTACATCCCTTCTCCTGCATGATTTTATTCCTACTGTGTCTTCACCAAGATCTTCACCAGATCGTGTCGTCTGCATAGGGCCCGGAAAGAACTGCTGCCTGACAGCAGGTTGGCTATTTACCAGCCTTATTGCCTGGAGGTAGAAGCTGTCCCGTAATCTGTTGGACCTTGACTGAATGTTTCGGTAATGTTTAGCGGACAGTAGTAGGGAAAACAGTTTGTGACTGGGATGACTGGGGTCCTTGAGAATGGACCAGGACATCTTCAGACATCTAGCAGAGTAGATGTCACGGGTGTTTGGTAGCTCACAGCCGGTAATGAGCTGCACTGACTTCACCACCCTCTGCAGTACTTTGCGATCCTGGGCAGAGCAGTTCCCATTCCAGGCAGTGATGCAACCAGTCAGGATGCTCTCAAAAGTGCACCTGTAGAAGCTGGCCTGGATATGTGATGGCATGCCATACCAAACGTCTTTTGCCTGTGGAGAAAGAATAGGCGCTGCCGTGCTGTTTTGACCATGATGTTGGTGTGGTGGGTCCAGGTTAAGTCCTCTGTAATGTTAACTCCCAGGAACTTAAAACTGCTGACCCTCTTCACTGCAGTCCCATTGATATAGGCATCACCATGCCATGATTATGGGTCTAGAGGAGCATTGCTGTCTTGTAGGCTGATCTTGTTAGGTCTCAGAAGTTAAGCAAGAATGAAACTGGTCTGTAATGTGGTGATACAGCCCTAAGGAAAAAGACATTGCTGTTGTAAGTGGTTTTGTTTGTACACAAGTTGTTGACACTCTTCCCTCTGGACCAGAATTTCCAAATCCCAATGCTCTGCTGTGGTGACCAATACCCTAGTGTTGCTACTGACAGCACTGTGCTGTACCAGCTACAATCCTTCAGATGAGATATTAACCTAACATCCTGCCTAATTGGTCATCAGTGATTTGATGATGTCAGTGTTAATGCTGAGTCCTAAGTAAATTCAGTGTTTATACAATCTAGTATTCATAAATTCTCCCTCAGTGAAGTAGCTTCTCACTTTCTGACCTAATTTGCTAGGTAGTGCACAGTGGCTGCATTTGTCACCCAAATGTGTACTTAACTCCAGTGGTAGATGTGTATCCTCCTATATGTCAAGTGCCTTGGAATCTATTGGGCTAGAAAGTGTTGTTGCTATGATAATGATGATGACAACAGTAACCTTGCATTTTGTTTGAATGCTCTCTTAAAATTTAATGAACCAGGGTTCCCCAAACAACCGTGGTGTTAGACTTTACTATGACTATGCACCATAATATAAATGTAGCTCAGTATGCATAACTGAGGTGCTAAATTCTTTTACCCTGAGAATGACACTGAACTCAATATTCACCATATAACTTACATGTTAACAGCTTTTCTCCTTGCAGGCTAGAAAAGACAGAAATTATTTTTCTTTTGTGTTTGAGACCTAAACAAATATATTTATTCAGAAGATATATTAATTCGTTATTAATCAGAAAAAATAGTTCTAGAACAATTAGAATAGTTGTGTTCAGGAAAAAAGCAGAAAAACGTAAGTCCCAATGTTATACTGTATGTATGGCTAATAAGGCAAAAAAACAGCCGCAGGTACTCACTTTCAAAGTATTTTAGTATAAAAATAATTATTATTATTAATAATTGCTTACACTTAGCAGCCATAGTGCGCCAGAACGCTCACCACACATCAGCTATCAGTGGGTGTTTTCAAAACATTTTATTTTTTACATACAATATGTCACAGTTTAAGTTCCCTATATTCTGATAACAGATTTGAAAAAGTTATAATTAATAAAAATATGCATGCTCTTTTAAATTTAAATACGAACGTTTTAAAAAGTAGAATTTATTTTCTGCTATCTATAGAAATAGTTTTCATCATTAAAAAATAACATGGTATTGATGACTGAACCGCATCCGCATTTTGGCCGCTGGGAGTGCTGTTACAGTATATAATCCCATGAAAACTTGGAATTTCTTCTCCAAGTTGGACTCCTTGTAAATGTGGAGGCAATTACTAAAGGGGGCCGAGTTAGTTTTGGGTTACTAAGTGCGGGGGGGAAGTAGGAGGAAGAAGGATTCATAAAACAGAAGGCGATCAGCATGCAGTTCAGAGTGCTCCGCTCGGTTCAAACCATTTGTACGGACGAGAGTTGCACAGAATCCCCCATTCATTATAATCTAGAAGTAGTCCACTTTTTTCTTGTTTCTTACAGCGACGGGGACGTATCGAAGAAGCCTGCAACAGCTCAAGCTTCTTAGGTTTCTTCATTTTTTCTTAAAACGGGACATTGGTGTTGAATAAAATAAGGAGCTTAAACAAACGGAAAACACATCGGTCCATAACTAAGGTAAACTTTGCTGGTAGAAGTACAGTTACTGTAAGTTAGAGAGTTTTTTAGAACTTCACACGACGAGTTTTCGTTGTTGAAAAGTAGATTTAGGGCTGACTCGCTGTACACATACTAGAGTGCGATTCCCGTATTTTTGTCTTGGATTTTAAATAAAGAGAAAGTTTTCTCAAATGCAAAACTACATGTACGAAAAAGCAATGGCACCAGAGACCAGGAACGGAGGAACAGCTACGTTAAATAATAACAATAACGGCAAAGACAACAGCAAGAGGAAATTGCTAATCTGCATGGACATCTTCTGTTTGATTTTGGGTGAGTATAACATTAGTGTTGTCATGTATTTTGAAAAAAAAATACTGTTAATATGCCACAATTTTAGTTTGGATTTCGCGTATACAGTACAGGAAAAACCCATTCAGAACAATAATACAGTACTGTAAATTAAGTTTGTCGTGTTATGATTTTTTTGTTTGTTTAAAGTAAATCCTATGTTATAATACGACTCTCAAACACAAGTGATCGTAAAATAGTGAGTTGACATTTATATATTTAATACTAGTTTTTCCAAAAGTGAATTTAAAATGCATCATTTGTTATGATTGGACGTGTTAAAGCTCAACTCTTGTGTGAGACTTTTTAAGTAATTTGTTAGGAATTTAGTTGTAGTTGCACTGCTGAAAGGACTGCTATAGTATTTTTTTAACGAGGTTGCACAAATGTGTGTTGTCTAGGTAAATTTGTCAAACTAAAGTAAGGTAGTTTGGCTAGTGTTAATATAGGTTATAAACTCAAGACATTACTGATGCATTACTACATCAGAGGTGAACTGTATGCAGAACACATCTTAACAATTGTGTTTCTGGAGATTCTTGGGATCACTATTTCTGGAGATTCTTGGGATCACTATTTTATTTGATGGAATCCGAATGTTTACGCAGATAAACGGCGGCAGTTTTGAGCACTTCAAATTAGCATGGTCTGGGGTAAATTTCTCTAGTTTATCAGAACTAACAGAAGTATACCGCCGTTTAATTTTATCTATCCTGTAGCCTAAGAGGTGCCATCTCCGTCCGGCATTCTGACGGCGAGTTACATTAAACATGACTTTTTTTTTAGTCGATAGCTCGATTTTCATTATATCCCCAGCCTCAAGCTATCTTATTATGAAGAAAATTACTTTCCACTCTTAACTCATGATATCATGTTTCAGGTGGTTGAAGAGATTATTTTTATTTAGTTCAAAGAACTAAAAAATATCATTTTAATTGACGTGATTTCGGGTTAGGCTCATTGTATTCGGAATGTTTGTATTATCAAAAACACGAGTTAACTCAGATGTTTGAAAATGCCTAATTTGTGCATTTAGTGGAGTTTCTTACATAGATAGCTTTAACACAAAATAGACATGATTTCATAATTAACGTTGATTGTGCGTTGTTAGGTTTCGCTAAAAAAAAGCTCGATTTCTTTTTTTGGTAATATTTTGTTCATATGTTCAGAGTAATAGCGTGTAATCAACAGTTTGCTTGGTGACCATTATTGAAAACCTTATCCCCCATACCGTAGCACTACCTTCAGGTTACATATTTAGTCTTCAAGTTCTAAAATATATGTCTCTTTTAAGTTGAGTCAGCACAACTCACATAATGTTTAATTTACCTTTTCTTTATAGGAAATTACCTTTAATTTATAGGAAGCTTTTTTAGCATTTAAATGAGGCACAGTTGCCTTTTCATTCAGGTTAATGTATAGTATGATAGCGCTACTAGCTAGTTGTAGTTGTCCTTATTTGTTGCATAGTAATACATTACATACACTGAGCATGTGAACAACAACGTTGTTGGTAATTGTGCTTGTGATTAATGATTGGCTTTGAAAAAGTAATCCATGACTACTATCCAATTTACACTGTACAAATTGTGGAAGAACAACCTAATTTGAATTGATACAATAAAAGCCTAAGAGTACCTAAACATGTGTAGTACTGTAGTGTGGACTCGAAAATATTATTATTCCTAAACACTTATTTGATTAAATCTACCTTTACGTAGATTAACTCATGGTTGACATTTTCCATATGTCCAGTCTTCATACCCAAGCACCAGGCACTCTATGATTAAGATAGTGCTAATGACAGTAACACTGAATAATTCAAGGCCAAGAGCTGATGACAGCTTCATTCTCTGCAGATAACTCATCACATATGAGCAATCCAGTTACTCTTTCACTTAAACCTATAGAAAAGCACAAGTAAAGTGACAGAAGCAATTTTTTTTATTTGTATTGAATTAAAAAGTAGGTGTGTAATTGTAACGGGTGAGTCAAATCTATTGAATTCAGCTTCAAGCTCTACAAAATGCCTCACATATATTTTTTCTCACTCACTTTAAAAATCATTTCCATTTCAGGAATTTGTTTTTAAGGTCATGGAACTTTATAAGTGAGCAGGTGTAGCTGTGGACATGTTGAAAGCTTACCCAATGTGTTTTCAGGTTAACATGATCTAAATCCCTTCATTTGATTGGCATTCAGATAACTGGTGTAGTGTTTAAAAAAGCTACCAGGTGGTTATAAAAGCATGAGATATCCCACATTAGAAACATATTTTTCTTTTGCTAGAAAATGTAATTTGAAAGCCCATCTGTTCATTTCATAGACCTTGTCTAAGGTGTTATTTTAATAGTGTTTATATGTGTGTCTAAGGTGCTTGTGCAAAGCAAATTGGAATATTTCAAGAAATTCTAGGTTGATATTAGATTCTTATTTTTTCCTAATAATTGAAAAGAATGTGATGTAAATCATACATCAAAGTAAAAAAAAAAGTATGCAACTATGCTCAACATGGAGAATCTGTCTTGTTTTGTAATATTCACTGGAAAAAAAGCACTCTGGGTTATTTGGGTAATAATCCTATATTATGACCAATACAGTTGAAGAGCAATTGATTTTAATTTGTTTTATGTAGTGAGATCAAAATACTGCCCTGTCCAAGATACTGCCTGAATGTTTCATCTCTTTATATAAGCTGGGCATCTGGTCCTCATTACTGAGAGCTGATGTTTCATAATGCAGAAAGTTACAGCTTTCTGCTTAAGTTCTTTTGTGAGGGGGGCACTGCAGAATGACATATTAGTTTATTTTGCCAGTTTTTTGTTTTGTAGCAGCTGAGCGAGTGTTTCTGAAATCACTGTGCAATTTAAAGAAGTATATACCTTTTAGCATATCTTTAATTTCCCAATAGAATATTGTTACAGTTTTAAAAAAGGCCATGTTTTGAAGGAACCTTAACTGATAAATCTCACCTTAAATGACAAAGTGCTCATCTGTTTTCATAACACTTCACAGTAGGCAATTCATAACACCATAGGCAATTTCGTATTGTCTACTAAATTTAACAAAATTTAAATTTGTTAAATTAGGTAGAGTTTACAATTAAACTTTAAAGTGTGTTTATAAAATCTGCTGGAAAGCAGACTATTTCAGACTTTAGTTAAATTATCTGGTAAATGATAAAGCCAACACAAGGCCAACAGGCAAAAATTTAATATTTTTCAAGAATGAGGTTATGTGAGGTTAAATGAGGTTAAATATTTCAGCTGGGAAAAGTGTTTTTTTTTATATATCGGGTTGGAATGTGTAATACAGTGAAATTATGTAGTGACATAATGAGTATTATTTGGCATCTTTGATCTCTGCGGACAAGATGTTCAGGATACACAGCATTATTGCTGTTGCCTCTTATTAAATTATTGTTTATGTTAGTTTGGTACTCTGTTATGTTCTTCATTAATTTTAACATAAATCTCTGCTGAATAACACTTTTTGAAATCTGTTACATTGGCTTCATTTGTAAAAGCATAATGGGACATGAGCTTCTACAAAGAAGTGAGATAAGCTTATGCAAAAAACAGTACAAAACTGGCATTAAACTAGTGGGAAGGTAAGGTCTGTGATTGTGGCCTCTGCTCCATACAGGATGTTTGTGACGGAAAGATGATCTCATAGGTCTAATTACAAAAGACTTTTCAGGAAACAGCAATTCTATAATTGACATTCACCTATGAAACATTTGTCTGGATAAAGAAAGGCACTAGAACAAAGAACCTGGAAAGCATTCAAGGTTAGTCTCTTAAAACTGGACAGTGACTCTGCCTCACAGCTTAAAGTGAGACTGCAAAGGAACAACTAATAGGTCTTCTCCTGGATTTAACCTATTACTTGTTCCTTTGCAGTCTATGCATGCTGACGCACCTACCCACCTGAACTACTTAAAGTGAGACTGTCCACCCAACCTTGATTATATATATATATTTTTACGTTTAGCATTAATCCTTTTAAAACATCTGAGATATCAGAAGCCTGTGCTTATCATTTGCAGAACTCAGATGTCTTTTGGGTGAAATCCAAATAATATTTTTTAGTTAACAGTTCTCCAGCAGATATTAAAGTTGAAATCGGTTTTGAAGCAGCTGCATTTACAGCGCAGGTTTTCGTTGGAATAAAATCATGTGAATAGGGTATGAGGTGAACTGAAGAAAAATGAAAATAGCTTTCTGTCACATAAGAGCATAACACATCCAGCTTAACTCTCTTCAAATTGTGTGCTAACTAAAATTCCTGCAAGAAAGTTTCTAAATGGAATTTCCCAGTACAGGTAATATATCAGTGTAGTACGTTATATTGCATTGTGTTTCTATTTATATACTCAATACCGTCACAGTCAAGTACTCTTAGGAAGCAGAAAAGATTAAGAAAAAGCAGAGTACATGGAAATGTCTTAATCAGATCATTTTGTTTTACTTTTCCTTTTTACTTCTGAATGTCTCTGACTGCCCTCAATTCTAAATGTTTTCCAAAATTTCTAACATTCCTTGTCTCCAATGCCAAATAGTACTGTTGATGTGACATCTGGTATAATTTTGAAATGTGTGTATGGGGGGGGTGGGGGGGTGGACTGGGTTAAAACAAGTCTAGTTTGGATTGAGGTGTGGCTCAAAGTGCTCTGAAATGCAATACTGCACTGTCTGACCCACTGCCGTGCCACTCGTGTTTAATTTGTGAATAATTCCCTGGACCCCTGGTGCCCTACATATTTTCAAGTGGGAGTTCAAAGGCCTTGGAAAAAGTTTATTGCTTACTTACAGTAACTGCTTGATTTGTCCACCATGTCTCTTAGTGGGGCTAAATACTGAGCTGTGCATTTGTAAGATGCCTTCTGTACAGAAAATAACTACTTTAGTCTTTTGGCATGAAATAGAGTATTCTTTGTCACTTAGGCTAGCAGTGATATACAGAACACTTAAAATAAATGT